CTCCTCCTGGCAGCCCTGGTGCTGCCGCTGCTGCTGTGGGCGCGGGGGGCCCGGGGCCAGGGCGACCCTCAGCGGGGCGCCATCCTGGGCATGCGGCTGGCTAGCTGCAATAAGTCGTGTGGGATGAACCCGGATGGCATCATCTTCGTGTCCGAGGGCAGCACGGTGAACCTGAGGCTGTACGGCCACGGGCTGGGCTCCATCTCCAGCAACTTGATCTCCTTCACAGAGGTGGACAACTCCGAGGCCCTCCACAACTCCACCCACTGCCCAGAGTTGACCAAGGACCTGGTCGTCCAGCAGCTGGTCAACGTGAGCCGCGGGGACACGTCCGGGGTGCTGGTGGTGCTCACCAAGTTCCTCCGGAGGAGCGAGAACATGAAGTTGTACGCGCTGTGCACCCGGGCCGGCGCGGACGGGCCCTGGCGGAGGTGGACCGACAAGGACTCGCTGCTCTTCATGATGGAGGAGGAGGGGAGGTTCCTGCCCCTCTGGCTGCACATCCTTCTCATTTTGGTGCTGCTCGTGCTGTCGGGCATCTTCTCTGGTCTCAACCTGGGGCTGATGGCCCTGGACCCCATGGAGCTGCGTATCGTGCAGAACTGTGGCACCGAGAAGGAGAGGCGCTACGCCCGGAAAATCGAGCCCATTCGGCGCAAGGGCAACTACCTGCTCTGCTCGCTGCTCCTGGGAAACGTGCTGGTCAACACCTCCCTCACCATCCTCCTGGACAACCTCATTGGGTCCGGACTCATGGCGGTGGCCTCCTCCACCATCGGCATTGTCATCTTTGGGGAGATCGTACCCCAGGCTCTGTGCTCCCGTCACGGGCTGGCTGTGGGTGCCAACACCATAGTGCTCACCAAATTCTTTATGCTACTCACCTTCCCCCTCAGCTTCCCCATCAGCAAACTCCTGGACTTTTTTCTGGGCCAGGAGATTCGCACAGTTTACAATCGGGAGAAGCTGATGGAGATGTTAAAGGTGACGGAGCCCTATAATGACCTCGTGAAAGAGGAGCTGAATATGATACAGGGGGCCCTGGAGCTACGGACCAAAACCGTGGAGGACATCATGACCCAGCTCCACGACTGCTTCATGATCCGCAGTGACGCCATCCTGGACTTCAGCACGATGTCCGAGATTATGGAGAGCGGCTATACTCGCATCCCCGTGTTTGAGGATGAGCAGTCCAACATCGTAGATATTCTCTATGTCAAAGACTTAGCCTTTGTGGACCCCGATGACTGCACCCCCCTTAAGACCATCACCCGCTTCTACAACCATCCGGTACACTTTGTCTTCCATGACACCAAGCTGGATGCCATGCTGGAGGAGTTCAAGAAGGGTAAGGCCTGAGCCACTTTCGGGCTAAGTTTGGTCCCACCTCTCTGGCTTCTTTGCGTCTGCCAATCCTGGTGTTCCTTTTGTGGAGCTCTCTTTGCCCATCAGTTCCTGGGCTTCTGAGGTGAACAGTATTTGAGGCAGCAAAAACAGTTCTTAAGCACATGCTATCAGATCCCTTGCTTTGCTTCAGGTGAATCAAAGCTGAGTAAGACACACCTGCCCACTTGGAGGGATGGAGCAAGGCCTCAGGGAGCTAGTGAAGCAGGACAGATGAAGGCAGATGCCTTAAGGAGGCCAGCATCAGGGCACAGATTAGATTGTGGAGCTCGCAGTTCTGATTGGGGTGGGGTAGGGAGGGTTGGGGAACTGGGAAACCTTTACTGGGCTGCAGCATGTGAGGGGAGCCTTACAAGGTGAGGAAACTTGGTACTTGAGCTGTTGAGAACCCCAGGAACAGAGAACCTGAGTGGGGAAAGGAAAAGATGGGCTTGTGGGCCCAGCAGGGATGATAGGTTGTGCTCATCAGTGGTCAGTGGTCAGTAGGGGTGGCTGAGTTACATGGCCTTGTGAAGAACCTGAAGGTCAGCATGGTAAGTGTGCGAGGAGCTGGGAGCTACGGAAGGATCAGGAGCAGGGGAGTGACGTCACTGGTGCTCCTAGCCCACAGAAGCCGGTCGGGAGCTCACAGAACGGTGCCAAAGTACTGCTCTTGACTCCTCAGCAGAAGCAAGTTACGTTTTGGTTATTCTGCCTTTCCCAAGTGCCAAGCACAAGCTTCCCTCCTGTGGGCTGCTGGGCCCTTCAGCTGGCTTTGCAGCCCCTGTGTTTATTTCTCACATGGGTCCGACCTGTTCGCAGGGCGTCAGTCACTTGGAGGGTTTACTCACCACCTCAGAGCTCAGGGCACACGCCCCTCTCCTTCCAACAGACTTCCCTCCCACCTCTGCCACTCCAAGCCCTCAGAGTGGCAGTAAACAAGCCAATTATGGAGTGAAACCCTCTTAGGCCACGGGGAGTGAGGAGGCAGAAAGGGAGGCTCTTTGTGAAGGAGTGGAGGTGGGGAGAAGCTCATCTTAAACTTGGGACTTTGCTTGTTTCCCATAGGCAGGGCTGCTGCTGGTTGGGGCCTCCCAGGCCACCTAGGGCCGGAAGCAACTTTTGAGCCCTAGCTGGGAGCAAGCACCAGGCCCTCGTTGGTTATTTCTGGGACAGAATGTGCAGAGAACCTGGAACTGGCTGGATCAGCGGGATAGGGAGGAGCTGGTCTGGCCAGGTTTGGCCTGAAAAGATGCTCAGTCATGGCGGACTAGGGGCTTGGTGCCCTGCCTTTTCCAATTTGACAGATTGTGATATAAGCCCCATTGGAGACTGCAAGGGTACTGGAGGGATGGAGACAGCTGGTGGTGATGGCACTACCTCCAAGGAGCTTTGGGGTGTTGACACTAGAACCTTTTCCTAGGTACCCGAGCCTGGGACAGAGGAGCAGCAATGCTCTGTGTCCCACTCCCATCCTGCAGGCTCTGGGCCCTGAGGCCTTCTATGTTCTTGATCAGGAACCTGGTTAGAACTTTCCAGGGCGGCTTCCTCCTGACCACCCCTGTGGTCTTTGAGACTGTTGTTGCCAGGGATTCACCCAATAAGCATGTTTGCATCCCCTCAGCATGCTCTGGACTCAACTGGAGTGGATGGGCTTGGCTGAGCTCTCACAGGCAGGGAGCTTCCTGGATCTTGGCAGGGCCATCTCTGGACTCTTGGGGAAGAAAGCCCCTTCACAAAGCTGGGAAAACAGCATCTCTGAGGCCAGAGTTCACTGAGTGGCACTCCAGATGCCAACTCCCCTCCTCAGCAGAGCCACGGAGGGGGCGCTGATAATTCTCTGGAAATGCAGGCACAGTCTGCCTCATGCAGCCCTGGAGATGTGAGTGTGACAGGATGGTCACCCCTCATGAACACACCCTGGGCCTCACAGTGTCATCTCCTAGTTTCCAGTCTTAAGTCACTTCTGTGCTCCCTCCTTCATGGCCTCTCCCAGATCTTTCCCCGTGGCTTCTACCCTGTCAGTATGAGACCATCTAGAACATGGCAAACACTAGTATATACCCGCAACTTCAGAGATTTTCTTTACAAATCTGGTGTTTGAAAGTCTTTTTCACTAAGAAAAACAAATGAGCAAGGCTGAAACAGCCAGCATTGTCAGCACCGTCAAAATCAGAGCTAGGGCGCCTGTGCTTCAGTGGACCCTTCAGCGCCTCCCAGTTGGGCAAGGACCCGAGCCCAGCCTGTGTCTTGTAAGGTCTCTTTGTCTCCTCTTCACTCTCTAGTACTATAAGCTCCTTGAGGGTAGGAGTCCTGCTCTATTCATGTTTCCGCCACTCAGCACCTGGCGAAGAAGAACAGTAAATGCTGTTACACAGTGAATGAATGAATGGATGAATGAATGAACAACAAATGAAGGGATGACTGCCTGGCAAACCCTACTGGCATTCTTGCTGTTCTTTGAACACACCATGACACTCCCAGTCTGAAGCCTTTGCCCGGGCTGTTCCCTCAGGTTGGAATGTTCTCCAGATGCTTCACTCTGTCCCCTCCCTCATGTCTGCTTTACCTTCACCTTCTCGGTGAGGCCTTCCTGTCACCCTGTCCAAGACTGTACCCCTCATCCCACCCTGCCCTCCTGCTCTCCCCTGCCCTGTGTGGGCTTTCTTTTCCTCATAGCATATAATCGCTTTCTAACAGCCGTGTAGTTTATGAATTCACTGTGTTATTTATTGTCATTTCCTCCCACTATGATATAAGTTCCAAAGGGCAAGGCACTCTTTTGCTTACTGATGTGTCTCTAGCCCCTGGAATGAATGGTTCTCGGCACAGAGCAGGCCTTAGTAAAAAGTAACTGAATGAATGCATGGCCTGTCAGGTGTGAGAGCGAGTTATCCCCATGTCAGTAGTGTTAGGATTTCGATGGATAAAGAAAAATCGTGCTTGACTTTTTTCAGCTGCACCAAGAAAGATAAGAGGAGCGCCTGCAGGGACGTGTATTAATGGTTCGGGTCAGGGATTGAGAAGCAGAATTGAGGGTCTTGAGTGTGATACATGGTTCTCTGTCCCCTTGCCTCAGTTTCTCTATAAGCAGCTTTTGACCATCAGGAGTTTACGTGGCTTCACGCATTTGCGAGAGTCATGAGTATGCTCCTGCATACTTAGAGACAGGTGTGTCCCCAGACTGAGGCCAGGGGCTCCCAGCTTCAGGCTGCTTCTGCCTCCCAGCCAAGGTGGTTATTGTTGGGTATTTATCGAAACCCATACTGTGTGCCAGATGTGCTGCTAGGTGCTGCAGGGCCTCAGGAACAGACCATCTAGGTGATGAGAGCTGTGAGGACATTGAGGCTCCTGTGATTGAACTTTGGCCCTTACACTTAGCCTTGCCTGGAACTGTTTGCTGTATGGGTGTTGTGGTTGAGTGTGTTTACAGCGGGAAGCTGGAGAACAACAGTTCTTGGGCGAGTCCTGGCCCAGATGCATTTTCTTGCACCAGAGATGCTCCCTTAGGCCCTGGTTGCCAAGTGTGAAGGGGCTCTCAGGGGGAGGTCCAGGGGGTCGGGAGCTCATTCCCCACAGTGAAGCCCACCTTCTAGCTTTCCACTGTGCCCCCGCCTTGGTGACATTCCTGCCCCTCCCAGGCACATAGCTCCTCTTTAGTCACCCTATCTTTCCCCACCCACTTTATAACCCTCTAGCCCCCTGTAAAGAGCTGAGTTTAAACTTCATCCAGCACTGTCACTGACCCATGAGGTCACCTTAGAGAAGAAGAAAAAAAGCTAGGAATATTTTCATTAAAAATTCTCCCCATATTTTCATCTATGCCACGTCACGTTCCCCCGCCTACTTACTTTTATTCCTGAAACAACTCTGAAATCAAGAAAGAACACTGCATAATTTTGCATTCACCTTCCGTTCTGCCAGCTGCCTTCCTTCAGTGTCTTACTTACCCCACTGGCTTGTTCCCTGTTCGTTCAGCAAACATCTAATTTTGAAGCCTGTGTGTCAGACCCGGTGCTCGCTGCTGGGAACCAGAGAAAACTCACAGACCCATTCACAGAGCTCTCAGGGAGACAGCATGTAGATGGCTTAGCTGAGCACAGCCTGGGCAGGAACATGGGGCCGAGGGAGGCCAGGCCTGAGAGGCTTCGTTCCTGAAGTCAGGACAATGGGACTCTGGTCCTTATGGAGACATCAGGGTCAGCAAGCGGTCGTGAATAGTTGAGGTTTCTGCTTTGGGGTTCAGGTTGACGGTGTTGTCATGTAGACTTAATTGGGGAGAGAAGGGGGCAGAGTCAGTTTGGTAAGGGTACTGGTCAGTAACAGTGGTGTGAGGCCTTACTGGATGGACTCCTCTGTGCAGACTTGAACTCATAGGTCTAGGTGTGGCCTGAGAGGCTGCATGTCTGACAACTCAGGTGATGGTCACCCTGCTGGTCCTGGGCCCCACCGCGCAGCCCATCCCAGCAAGTGTGCAGGTGAAAGTGCCACATGGGGCTTGGGAGTGATGCCAGGCCCAGGCCCTGAGGTTTGGGAGCAGCCAAGGGCAGGCAGGAGCCTGGCCAAACTGGCTTCTGGAAGAGACAGAAAAGCGCCAGGTGGCATGGTTTGGGGGGCCCCCCTGCAGAGGCTGAGTGAGGAGAGGGCTGAGCACAGACCATGGGATGGACAGTAGAGTTGCAAGGTGCTGGAAGAGGGAGGCCTCGGATGGGGACGAAGGCAGCTGTGTACCTGGTCTAGACAGCCTCACCTGGAAACCGTCTGAACTGAGCCGGTGATTTGATCTGGGGATGCTGCCTGGAGGTAAGTGTATCTGAGTGACAGGAGCCGCCTGCTAGGGCAGAGGTGCCAGCAGGGCAGGTGACAATGTGCTGGCCAAGCTCTCCCTCATTTTCTCTTTAGCACGGTGTTTGCAGGCCCAGAGCTGGCACCTCTTCCCCTCACCAGCATTGCGCAGCCTGTGGG